TCATATATTTGAAAAAAGAAACCTTATTGAACACATCTATTTACTTATATATTGGCTGAACTTTTTTTTTTTTACATGCAATTTTGTTATGAATTAACTCTAATAACTCTTGAAGAATTTATGTAAAATGTTTACTCCTCTCTGAATTTAAAATTCATTAAAGTATTGAAAGTTCACATTAGGTTTTTGTATTTTTTCATCTTAATATTGAAAAGATGTGTGTAAACTTTGGATAAGAAAATTTTTAACTGTGGAAAAGCATTTTTTTTTCTTTTGTAGGGAAATCTAAAACAAGACATTTATACTGGAGTGTTTACTTTTGTTGTCTGCTTCCACTGAAAAGGAATAATTGTTCTTTTCCACTAATTCTGTTTCAGATCCCTGTTTTTAAGCATGATACTTATCTTTCTCTTTGCAATCGTGTGTGTGTGTGTGTGTTACAAGTGACTTCTATGTACCACACCCTATTCACTTTTAGCACTAACCCAGCTGCTGTTCTTTGTAGACACAAAGCAAAAATTAAGCAAAAGTAGAACCACATTTTATTTCTCTTTTCTTGGTATGTTAATAGAATGTTATTGGCAAAACTAATTAAAAAAAAAATCACTTTTAATTACTGATATTTTTTTTTTTTTCCCCACCCCTAGCTATATGACTAACCAAGCGGCATAGCAACACACCACTAAAGAGGATTTAAGAAGTGCCCAAAATAAATGCATTATGCTATAGTATTTTGTGTGTTACTTCAAGCCTCTTATATTGCTTGTACATCAATTTTCTAGATACAATGTGTGAAAGCACAAGCGATACTCTGCCCTTGTCAGCCACCAGCAGCTTTCGCCACTGGACAGGGTATTGTTTTTTGTATTGACATGTCAATCTCTGCAATTTTTTATGCACCTGCAAGTCAGATTTTCAATGTTGTGTTAAAAGCGTTTGCTTTTGATTGTTAAACACAACATTCATCACGCAGAATGAAATATAGCTAAAAATGCTTATAAAGTGTAAATTGTAAAAATCATCTAAATAGTTTGATCACCTCAAAAGTAATAAAACTTGTATTTTAACCTCAATAAACTGAAATTGTTTGCCGTCTTTGTCTCCTTTATATTTTGCACTTTTGTGAAAATAATTATCAAATCTTTCTTTCTCTCAGCATATGTTCTGCGGTAAATGCACTTGACGAAGACAAAAATTGATTATTACCTCAGTTGTGATTCTTCATTTGATGTTCATAAACTTTATCACTCATCTCTGTACCTGAGGGACTTTTAATGTTCTTGGCCATTTTAAGCAACATTAATTAATACTAATTCAACAACGCTAATGATCATGTATGGTCTAAATCTTTTACATTACATTGGTACTTACCTCTGTCACCCCAAAGTCCTAATAGTAATGCAGTGCATACACACACCCACAGACAGACACAGATTCTTCAGTGAACTTTCTCTGTGCATGTCCTAGTCTTTTGCAACAGCTGCATGTTTCTTTGGCACCTGTATTTAACTAACAGGATAATAACATCAGAAAATTTAGCACCTGTGTAAATAAATTTTGTTTTTTGAGAATGTCAAATATTTATGCAAAACAATTATTATTTTAAGAGATTTATTTTGCTGTGTAAGGAGGTCAACTCCATTTATATTAAAATGATTGTAAAACAAGTGGATGTAGCACATTATTTGGACATCTTGATTCTTTTCTCATGTCTTGAGAATATTTTCTCTCTGTTGTGTCATTTACCCATAATATTCCTTTTTTGCTATTTGACTTTCTTCATTTTCACTCACATAAAATTCAGCACCCAATTGTGTGTGTGTGTGTGTGTGTGTGTGTGTCTGCATTTTTTAATATTCAACTTTGTGGAAGGAAACTGATTTGTGGGGTTTTAACTTAACACAATTTCAACTTTTACCCCAGCTAAACATTAGTTTCATTTACTTTGCAGATGAGTTCAAATTTTTCTCAGTAAATAAAAATCTGTTTTCTCCATATTATTGGCATATTTTTTCAATCTCAATGCTGCTTTATTTGTAAGCAGAACTCTAATATCATTGTTTTTTGCCTCAGCACTTGTTGTCATTATTGTTAAACATTTGAATTGTTTTTTGTTTTTGTTTGCTCCCCCCCCCAATAAATCGACCTACTTCCAAACATTGTATATATCTTATAGTTGACTTTTTTCTTTTTTAGAATTTTTCTTGATAATGTCTTTTTGTGGAATCTTATGCAATTTGAAACTTGAATACTACACCACTCCCTCATCACTCTCCCCTTTTTTCATAAGTAATCTTAATTCCATTTTCTGGTTTGTGTTACTCTTAACACAAAGTCATGTTATTACTAACCCATCACCTTTTTTCACTTTTGTTTCTTGATTTCTCTGCTACCTCTGTTCTTTTTTTATGCCTTATCTAACATTTAATTTGTCCATTTCTGTTTGATCTAAATTAAAGGAAATCAAAGTTTCATGCCTCATCCAGATAATTCTGAGAGATTTAACCCTGTTGGTTAGTATTACACTGACATCTATTGGCAACATACTTACATCGTTGCTATGATTCTTGTAAAAAAGTGTGTTCATTATATTTACTTATTCTGATACAATGTTCATCTAAAATATAAAATATATGTTTGTATGTCCTGTCTCTGTATCATCTTTTTAATCTGCTTCATCTATTCAACATAATTTTTAATTTTTAATGGAAGGATCCCTGTATAAACTCTAGCTCAACAATTAAATTCTCTTTTAAAGATTGTTACAACTTACAAATAAAAATTTATTTCATTCACAAAAGCATTCAATTTGAAATTAATATATTTCATTATGGTGGGTGGGATAATAACAGACCTTTTTTTTTTTTTCTTTTTTTTACTGATCAGATTCAACAGTTTCCCTTCTATGTTTCAGGTGGAGATGAACCAATTTTATCATACGAGGCAGTTATTCAACAGGAATGTGAGTAGTTTTATTTTTACTTTTCTCCCTTTTTTTTTCTTTTTTCTCTAACTTGCTTCTCTCCCTCCCCTCATCGCCCTCCTCTTTCTTTCATCTTCTCTCTACTTTTTTAAATCCTGCATATTGACTTAATCATATGATCATAATCGAAATGTGAATATTTTTGATGGCCTAGGCTTGTTATTGTTCTTTTTTCTATTTTTTATCTTCCTGGTTTGTGTTAATAGATGAGATACTGTTTGCTTTTTAAGCCTCTATTCTGACATTGTTACAAATAATAACTTGGAATATTTCTATATTCAAATCTTCATGAGTCAATTCTTTGACATTCCTGGTATGCATATTAACATTTTCTTTTAATCTTTCCAACCCAACCAAGGAAACAAAGCCACTAAAACTCAGGGGGAGTTACTGAGTGTTAAAGAATATAAGAAAAGAAAACATTATTAAAGAGAGAGAAAACAATAATAGAACAGGAATTAAGGAGACAGAAGATGACAATTGACATTGCATTTTTCAAAGATTAAACTTGACTGGAAAGCAAGAAGCTGGAAAACAGTTTCGCAAATGAGACATGTGAGAAAAAGAAACTGTTAGCATAGAACATATAGTTACATCTAGCCAATTCAACTGTAAAAAGATGAGACCTTGCTGCCAATCTAATACTGTGCTTAAATTCAGAGAGTCAAGGTACCCTAGAGGAAACTTCATCAGAACAGTTACGATGAAAGTATTTATAGAAAAGTCATGGAAGTTACATTATGGTGGTGGGAAAGTGATTGAAGCTAAGGTGCCAGGTCATGGCCAATAACATTGCAGATTCTTTGGATTTTATCAAGAATCTCTAACTATATGGTACATGAAAAGAGAATACTCTTTGTCCACAGTTCTTCTGCATTGATAACAACCATTTCTTATCTAATGGTAATCAGATTTATATGAAAATAAGCTGAATCACATTGTCTACATTTATTATTTTATATTGGAAGCTTTTCTCAAAGATGTTAGCGTCTATGATAAAATTATAGAATTGTTATAAACTGTTCTTAGTTTCTCAGATTTTATCAATGTTTTCTTCACTATTTGCATTTACTTGTATTCAACAGATTTTTCTATTTCATAATTATCAATAAAGCAAAAAGTATAAAAATTGCCATATATGTCAATAAATATTAATGTTAAATATTTCTTAATAAATTTTCAAGTTATTAAGTTTAGTACGAATATATACATAATATATATGAATATATACATGTTATCAATATAATCATTGTGGATTTATATATGTGCTTGCAGTCCAGTGCCTTCTAGTCTAGTTCTACTGATGAAACTAAAAAATAAAATAAAGATATAGGAACAGAGGAGATTTGTTTATTTTCAGATTTAATGGGACTCCTTTGTACTAATTTGAAACCATTTAGAGTATTTGGGCCCCCTCTAGTTGGAGTGGGTCTTTTAAATTTGGTTTGAATAATTGAATGTCAATCTAATACAGGCTCATCATTCAAGATACATTTCTGTTGGATGTAAAGTTCAGATAAAAAATATCATGAAGTTGCAAATTGGATGAGTTTCAAAATCATTAAAAATTTTAGCTGAATATTTAACACAAAAAAAAACATCATTTCATCTTTTAAAAAAAAAAAAAAAAAAAAAAAATTTCATTTTTTTTTAAGACCCATATGTAATGAAGGCTTGCCCAAATTCTATTAGCTCAGAGTCTCTTACTCAGCCACGAGTATAACTTTTGTCTCAGTCATTTAACAGAATTGTTTAGAACCACTTAGAAAAAGAAGATCAGAATATTTAATCATTTTTTTGCTTCTTTTTTTCATTCCTCTTCAAATTGTAAGATTTTGTCATTAGTCTATATATACTCTACTCGACTCTCCTGTCGAATTCGACATATGAGAGTCAAGTGTGTATATGTATATATATATATATATATATATATATATATATATATATATATATATATATATATATTCATTCACTGAGATTAAAGTGGTTATTTGTGTTTTTTCTTTCTATTTTCCAGTGAAATACACACGGCCTGTTATAATCTTAGGTCCTTTAAAGGACAGAATTAATGATGATCTAATCTCTGAATTCCCAGACAGATTTGGAAGCTGTGTTCCCCGTGAGTACTATATAGATTTTCCTTAACACTTCACAAAATACAAACTTTTACTTATATTGTTTTGAATTTATTATTATTACTACTACAATGATTATTTTCTTGAGTCATAATGTGACTAACACTACAAAGTGCATCATTTTATTAAAATATTTTTCATTATATTTGTTGGAATTAATTCATGTTTTCTACAAAATTTCTTGAACATTCAGGTTGGTAAATGTAATTAATACTGTTTAATTAAAGAAAAAAAAACAAATCATTTACTTAAATTATATCTATAAAAATAACATATAAACAGAAGATATATTAAAATAATTGTCGGAATTAATCCATTTCATTTTATTTATTTGCATATATATGTGTGTGCGCACACACACACACAAGTTTTATTAATAATAATAGCCTGATCTATGTGTTAAAAAAAAGATGAAAATAATGGAATAATAATAGAGAAAACCAACTCTGAATGATATCAATAATGAACATGACCACAACATGCTGACAGTGTTTAGAAAATATATATATATATATATATATATATATATATATATATATTATATTTGCAATTAAAGAAATATCTTTGATAATGGCTAATAGATTAGCTGAAAGTGCATGGATATATAGAACTTTGGACTGATTTTACACTTTATATCCAGAAAAGAAAATACTTGTACAATTGCAAGAAAAATTGAATAAAAAGCTTAATTGCAGTACCTTCTTTGTCATCTTTAATAAGAGGGATTGCTACCCAAATATCTGAAAGCTCCCGCTAGTGAATTGAACAGTTATAAAAAGATAATCTATGAAACTAAAGTTGTGGTGCAGATGAAGCTGAATACGGCATCAATCGGCAAAATCACAGATTATATTTATGCCACCCTCTCGACCCAGGACAGCACTATCACCCCAAGGCCCTTCATTTAGGCCTCTGAGTTGAGCCAGGAAGATGAATGAAGGCATAACATCACCATCACTATTTTAACTAAAATTTACACATTATTATGTTTTCTTTTTTTAACTAGTATTTAACATGTAAATATCTTGATTAATTTATTTTTAAGCAATTTTAATTAAATGTTATTTCTCTTAGTTTTTAAACGGAATTTTAGATTTTCAGTCAATATCCCAAATTATTCATACCGTATTTTAGGAGATTTTTTTGTAAATAGTGTAAATCATTTTAATCACTCTATTGTAAACATTTTGTTAAGTGTAGTTAAGAAAAAATAAGAATAAAAAGGAAAGTTATAAAAAGAAAGACAAAACAAATAAGAAGTTAAAAGAAGAGAAAGAAAAGCAAGTCATAAGACGAGCCAATATAATAAATCGTTTTTATTTTATTAATGTGTGTGTGTGTGTATGTATGTATGTATGTATATATATATATATATATATATATGTATGTATGTTCGTTTTCTTCTCTTCCAAAAAACATCCTGTCTTGGCTGCATGTAGGAAGATCAGTACAACCAAGCATACCTGATCTATAACATCGAATAGCCCAAGTGAAATCTTGATTAGTTGCCGTTTTCTGGGGGAACTTATATAAAGCACATCCTAAAGCTAGTAGCAAATTTTATTCTGGGTGCAGGCCGAATACTGATCATGTTCAGTCGGGTTGTCCATCGAAGAAGTCTGTTGTTTATTTAGACCCGAAACTTCTAGTGACATGGGAGCAACAACACTGATGATGCATCGAGATTCGGCAAAATCACAAATTATATTTATTTATGCCACCCTCTTGACCCAGGGCAGCACTATCACCCCAAGGCCCTTGATTTAGGCCTCTGAGTTGAGCCTTAAGACCTTGGGGGGAAAGATGAATGAAGGCATGACATCACCATCACTAGTGATCACTCCAAACACCATGATGTTGACTGGATATTTAGTTTTCATCACTATTGGTACGTCTTTCGGGGACACAGCAAGTCAACGGTTTTTTTCTCTATATTCACCATCTTAGCCTGGCAGAAATTTTTCTGGTTTGAGAAAAACCAAAGCATGTTCAGTTGGAGGGGATGCTTGAGTTTGTTCAAAAGGTTCATAGTGTGGTCTTTCCTCTTTGTCCTTTATGGCTTGAAATAAGAATTGGCCGTTTCTCATCTTGTATAAGAAATACCGAATGGCTTCATGCATTACCTGCCCAATAAGAAACTCAGACACTTCTTTTGTCCCTGGCTGTGGATGTAATTGACTTGGAAGTATCGTTGTCAATCATGACCTGGATCTCACCAACAAATTTGGGAGCTCTTATCTGAACAATCAGAGTGAGTTTTCTGAGTTGCCATACCTTCATTAGTCACTATTAGTGTCATCCAACTCTTTTCAAATCCTCTGCACTGTCCTCAAATTGCAAACACTCTGAAATGTTTGTATTGGAGCCATGCAGTACAGCATGCCATTTCCAAATTTTTGGTGGAGTGAATTGCTGCATGGTGCTTTTTTACTCAAAATTAAAAATATAAAATGGTGACAATTTATCTATTTCAACCCTGTATCTTTCACTCAATATACTCTGCAACATATTCATAAAAAATACAATTATAATTTCCTTATCCACATGTGTATAAAAAAAATGAAAAGAAAAACCTTAAACTTAATAATGTCAACTATGAACACGAAATTATGTTTAGAAAATTAAAAAAATATTCTCATCACTATAGATACCATGTATAAAAATCTGAATATCTGTTAAAAATAAAAATTATCCCTAATAATGGCTAATAGAATAGCCAAAAGCATTTGCATACATAACATTTGGCAAGTTTTTATACACTTGAAGTCCAGAATAGAAATTACTTATACAGACACAAGAAAAATTGACTATGTATGTATGTATATATATATATATATATATATATATATATATATATATATATATATATAATCCACATTACAACCAAAAACATTTGCGGTTTCTCTCTTCTTTTTAATATACACACTTTTCTCTCGTTGGAACTACTATAACCTCTTCCTTTATATACATATATATATATATATATATATATATATATATATATATACACACACAGCTCTTGAGATACAAAGTTTGATAGTTTAATAAAAATTAGTTTTGTTTTATCAGTTTCATAAAAAAAAAATTAAGATTAAATTCTGAATTATGCTTTTGATAACTTCCCAAAACATTTTGAAGAGAATAATATTCATTTTTAATTTATAGCATTTTTTTTCTCTCAAATAGCTGCCTTTATATTTTTTTTATCTTACACTTCTAGCTTTCAAACTTCTTTCCTTGTAAATACTGATTTGTTTAATTTTCTACTGAATCTTTTTCAAATATGTATTGTTCAGATTCTAAATAATTTTCATGTATGTGTGTGTCCTTTTTTTTTCTTTTTTCTGTTAAGATACAACACGGCAAAGAAGAGAGAATGAAGTGGATGGCCGTGATTATCACTTTGTAGCATCGAGAGAACAGATGGAAAGAGACATTCAAAACCATCTTTTCATTGAGGCTGGCCAGTACAATGACAATCTTTACGGAACCAGTGTGGCATCAGTGAAGGAAGTTGCAGAAAAGGTACAATATAGATAAATTTGACTTATAAAAACCAGCCTCAGTTTACAAATGTACAATGGAGCCTAATGAAAAGTTCTAAACCTAATCCACTAATCTGACCAAATATTTTTTTCTTGGTCAGGCTTTCCTTGCATGTTAAATCATACCATTGATACAGACAGACAAGACATCAATTTCTATGCACAAATATTCCTATTCTATTGCTCTGTGATTATTTTTTTGCCCATTTCAAATGTAAATTTTTGCTAATAATCATCCATTATCACTAAATATTTCTTTTATTGTAAATCTTTTCTTTTTTTTTTTTTTCTTTAATCAACAGGGCAAGCACTGCATTTTAGATGTGAGTGGAAATGCAATCAAGCGACTACAAGTTGCTGGACTTTATCCAATTGCAGTTTTCATCAAACCCAAGTCTGTGGAATCTATTATGTAAGTTATTTTATCCTTTGCAAGTGTACGTATATTGTTGGCTAATAAAATGAGGACTATTTTTCTTAATCATTTCATCCCAAGCAAGGCTATAAAGCCACTAAAACACAAGGCATTACTGAATGTGAGAGAATATGGGAAAAAGAAAAGAATATTAAGGAGAGAGAATAATAAAAGAAAAGGAATTAAGAAGACAAGATAAGAATTGACATCACATTTAAATTTTTGAAGATCAAACTTGACTGGGAAGCAGGTAGCCAAAAACAGAGTTCTACAAGTAAGAAGTGTGAGAAAAGAAACTGTTACCATAGAACTAACTTTTACATCCAGCCATTTCAACTGTAAAATGATGATACTTTGCTGCTCATAGACTATGAATTTAAGCACAGTACTAAGTACCATATGGGGAGAGTTCATCAGAACAATTACCATGAAAGTATTTATAGAAAAGGCAGAGTAACTTATTCTACATCTCTCTGACCAGAGCTCTCTATGAACACATTTTATTTTGATCATTTCATCTTAAACAAGGCAATAAGGCCACAAAGACACAAGGGTTACTGGGTATGAGAGAATATGAAGAAAGTAAAACATTATTAAGGAGAGAGCAAAAGAACAGGAATTAAGAAGACAAGATAACAACTGAAATTGCAACTGTAAGATGATGAGGCCTGTATAGTAGTACACTTAAATCCAGATGTATAAATGTTGTGCAGAATACAATACTGTTATAAAAGTTATCTTTTATATAATATATATCCCATTTCATAAGTCAGATATGATTTTTAAATATTTTGAATTTGTTCTGCAGGGAAATGAATAAGAGGATTACAGAGGACCAGGCCAGAAAGACATATGAACGGGCGATGAAACTTGAACAAGAATTTGGCGAATATTTCACGTGTAAGTAAATCGGCCATTATAGATATTCTGTTCAAAATATATATATATATATATATATATATATATATATATAATACAATGAAAGGTTTGTCATTTAGCTGATAGATGTTACCTTCAGCATCCTGATCTCAGAGTTTCATAGACAGCCCCTCTGGGAATCACTCCACCCACTCGGCAGGAGGTGCAAAAATGGGTATACATTAATGAAAAACAAAACATGTTGTATTGATTATACAAACATATCAATAATAAACATTTCAATCCCTCAAATATTCAAACTGTGTTTGCCCTCAGCGTTCACACACTCCTCCAATTGAGAGTAGATATTAATACACACTCTCACACAAAAGTCTTCATCAGCAACAATTTCCTGGCAATTATCCCGTATGAACTGAATCATCAACAGAACACGACTTGCATGTGAAAATAAATTAATCCTAGAACCACTGGTATAATACTTAGTGTATACATACATCTACATCCCTACACCCCTTTTTGAAATACACTCGGTTTTTATTTTAAACAGTATCTATTATATCTATTGGACTGCACACTCAAAATGTACTCTCTAGCAGGGTTTGAACCTGCGTTCCTCTTTGTAGGGAAAAACCATTTTCTCCAGCATGCTTTTTAATGTTTGAAGTGATAAAGATGTTGGATTAAAAATAAATCCATTAATTATATCTGTTACCATTACCATTGTCCCTGAAGACTGGATTATATATAAAATGATAAATTCTCCCATTGTCTTCAATGTATGAGGGCCCAGTAGTTTAGCTCCAAGGACTGAACTGACTACATCACACATATGATTTGATTATGGTGATGAAGGCTTGTGCAGGACCAAGAAAATCAAAACTAAAGAATGATTGGCTCTTCTAGAATGGTTGCCAACCAAGACTAAAGAACTTCCCTAGTATTTAACCCATAGCTAGAGGGCAGAGAGTTGGATTTATACCTTTTCTAAGGCTATTTGTGCAAAGGAGAATATAATGAATTCAAATGGAATTCAGACTCCACTTGGTGATTTCTTATTCCAAGCCATTATCCATTACACCATGTACACATCCAGCTTATATATATATATAATAATCCAATCTAGCTACAAACAAGATGAAAAAAAATCATAAGTACTAATATATCCACTACTAATCCCAGTAAAAAAAATAAAACTAATTATATACTAAATTTAATACAGCCAACTTAATCATTGGCAATAATTCTTCTCCGTCAACTAATGTTTTGCAAAAGATCAACTTTGTATATCATTTTAAATGTCCTTTGGGAGTTTGTACCTCTGACAGAAATGTAAATATATACATGTTGGTTTCACTATGACAACATTATCAAAAAAACTCATTTTATACATGTCAGATTCTAGTTCTATTGCACAATATTTAAAAAAACATTCCTGCCCATATTCATGTTTTAGAGAAATACTAACTGACAATACAAGTTTACTCCATCATGAAAATCAAGAGCAAAAACTTCAAATTCTTGAAGCACTCTATATTAAAAAAAAAAAAATGGAACAACACTAAATAAAATTAATTGAGTATAACAATAATGTTTTAAAATGTCTATAAAAGCAATGCTTTGGGAGGCTCAAATTGTAAAGGAAACTTTTCTTTTTTTTTTTTTCCTTTTTTTTTCTTTTTTTTAATGAAAAAAAAAATTGCAGATTGAGTATTTAAAAACAGTAATAAAAAATATAAATTTCATTTACCTCCCTTACATATTTTTAACCTTGATTTTTAAATTGACCATAACAGAGTGTGTTTCATGCACATTTATAAAAAAATTCACAATTATCAATTACATTAATTTTTGTCTTAGAAATTCACTCCTGAAGATGATCTTGGATGAGATTGAAAGTACATGGGGGGAAAATAAAAGAAATAACCAAAACTATATCATCTTTGTTAATCAGTTTTGTAACAGCACTAAGAAATTGATCCGTGAATTTGAAAGATTAAAATAAATAAATATATGTTTAGATTATTCAACCAAACCTGCTTCTGTGTCTAGCAATATTACTTTTGCCAAAAACTTTCAGCATTAAATTCTAAAATTAAATATCTTTAACTATGTTGAAATTCTAATGATATAGTTCTGATAAAAATAGTACTACTATGACCATTTTAAGTATTTCTACACTATAGTAAAGCTTTCATGTCTCTTTAGATGACAACTTATCCTGTATTAAATGAATTGGGAATTCCTGTATATATGTATATCTATTTTGTGTTTTGTTTGCTTACAGCTGTCGTACAAGGTGATACAGCCGATGAAATCTATGCAAAAGTGAAGGAAGTGATCCGTGATCAGTCAGGTCCCACAATATGGGTGCCAGCGAAAGAGAAGCTCTGAGCTGTATCTTGGACAGAGGGAGAAAGCAAAAAGGAAAAGGAAAAAAAAAAAAAAAAATTCAACTGGAAAAGGGGAAATTCAACTGTGCTCAGTACCAAGTTGAAATATATCTATATTTGAGGGTGCAGCAAATGGTGAACCCGCCAAATATAAATGGGGATCTGAGATCAGCTACTAAGCAAATTCAAAACGTCATCGCAACTCTATAGAGAAGAATACTAACCCCAGCATTATAAATCATGTCCATTTATTACCTTTCAGCCACCACCACTACCAACCCAACAACAACAACAACAACAATAATAATAAAAAGAAAAATTACAATAACTATATAGACAAAATGACCAGTTGATGACCTCTAAGTGGGGCTTGATTAGGCTGTTTGGCACTGTCAACTTGACCTTGATTTATTAATGACTTAAAAGCTGAACCAAAATACAGGAAAAGGAAGAATGGAAAGATTAACAAATATATAGCAACAATAACAAAAGGAAAATTCTGCATTTATTTTTTTTTAATTTTTTTTTTTACCCATTTTAAACTTATGATTTTACAATCTGTCATAAAAGACAAAATATGGGTGAGTGGGTTTTTCATTCCTACCATCACCATTATTAATATCTGATTCCTTCATACTGCAAGTAATATTAGTTTTCAGTGAAGACAACAACAATTAAATATCTTTAAATCCTTATCTCTAGGCCTATTTTCTTATTTTATAACCTGCCTTTTTTATTTTATTTTTTAATAACTTTACACTTGTCAATTATTTTGATTTTTTTTTTTTTTTTTTTTTTATACACTCAATTTAGTTTGAAAGTAGTTTTTTTTTTTTTCATTGCTTTTTCTTTATCAGTAAGAGCTGTCCATTGTTGCACCTCTCAGTCACACACACACACACATATATATATATATATATATATATATATATATATATATATATATATATGTTATACTAGTTTTTGTTTTGCAAATGAATAATAAGAAAATAATTATATTAGAATTTATTTAAAGAAATAAAAAAAGAAAAAAAATATAAATTTTAAAATTTATTTAATTATAACTTGGCCTTTCAGATAATTTGAAATCTTTTTGCATATTTAGGACAGATTTTTCACATTTTCATTTTTTTTTTTTTCTTTCTTTTTCTGTCTCATTTAATTTTATGTTTTTAAAATTTATTTTGTAACACATTTATAGAATTTTTTTTTTTTTTTAAGAAAACTTTGGAAATGGGGGATGATTCCCCCACCTTGCTAATTAGCCATTGCATATTAACTAACACACCCACATACACTCTTTCACACATGCGCTGGCAAATCACTGCTTTGATAACAGCAGCACTTTGGTTAATGTTTTTTATTTTATTTTTTAACTTCACCTCCACAACAACTATTCCTTGTTAGTAATAACCGATATAACATTTTTGTAGGGAAAGTTTATCATGTGAGTCTAGTTCAACTTGAGCAGACTTTCACCCTCATTGTTCCTCGGACCTCTTCATTTCCGTACTGTCCAGACTTAAGGTTCCGGTTTTGTTTCTTCCTCTTTCATCCTTTTAGTCATCCCATTAAAGAAAAAATATATATATATATATATATATATACACACACACACACACACACTTATATCATGTCCACCAATACATATGTATGTACTGCTGAGACTTGTAGCAGTAGCCAAGATTGGGATGGCTTTTTTAAGTTTTCTTACTAAGTGATGACACTGTAAGTCGCATTGAATCTGTTTTATGATGTATGTATGACCAAACCATAACACTCTTGATGCTTTGGGGGCAAAGGGGGAGATACTAGATGTTTGCGCACTTGGAGCTGACATCAGCCATTGAAGTCTTCTGAAATGGAAGTGATTTAAATGTTTTAAATAAAAGAAATTGAGGAAAAAAAAATTTTACTTCTTTGAGAGAAGGGGAAAAATATACACAGACACACACAAACACATGCACACATCCATATACATTGATCGTTTTGAGGAGAACTCTTCAAGCTGATAAGAACTTTTGATTACCACAATTTAAGAAAAAAAAGAAAGAAAGAAACCTTTGTAGCTAACCCAAAAAGTAAATATCTTTAAAAACAAAATAGTTGGCATTTCACATTCTATTCTTGAAAACTTTTCTTTTTTTTTTTTTTTCTTTGTTCTCTTATTTTTATCACAGTGAAATCATTGTTTTTGGTTACCTCTAAGCAATTATCTCCCTGTCACTCACAATCTTATCAACAAATGGAGAAAATTCCTGCTTACAAAAAATAAAAAAATAATTGGGGAGGGGTTTAAAAAAATTTGCGCAACTGTTAATAATATAATCTCTGTGCAAATTTATTAAATAAATATTCCGGATCTTGAAAATGGCCACACACTTCTTGATTACGCCTCCTATTTCTATGTTCAGCTAATTTAAAAAATTTTATCATATCAACGGCTCAGCCATATTAACCAATGCAATATATTCGAAAAGAAAATGGGAAGAATAGAGACTTACAACAGCTTTCCGTTTTTCATGGACAATGAAATCCTTTCTTCATTGTGTCATTTGAAGTTAACTGCCTTGCTTTTAGTGAACTTTGTTATATGACAATTTTTTTTTAAATTTTTTTTACAAAATTAGGTCAATGGCTTAAACCCTAATTTCTGTTATGTATAGTCATTAACAAGGCTACACTTTTCCCTTTCTTCCCATACTGCATTCCCTATGAAAGAGTACATGAGCACTAAGTTCTGCAAACACTCTCCCCCCCTCCCCATCATTTCCATTGTAGTCTCTTTGAAGGGTTATCTTTTTTTTTTTTTTTTTCCTCAGGGTTTTTCGTAATAAATATATATGAGGTGATCTCAGTATTGGCATACTCATATGTTATAAGAGACTGTTTCCTTCTCACTCAAACAAAATGGTTTTATATATATATATATATATATATATATATATATATATATATATATATATATAGGCAGTGACTTTTGCTGTTAACTTTTAAAACATTTATTTTTGCAGCAGTGATACATAATCACACATTTTTACTGCCTTTGACCAAATAAGAATTAGTATATTCTATAAAAATGCACTCTTTTTTCCCATTTCAATCATTAACAGTTGACACTCTAAAATTCCTTAATTATAAATTCTAAAGCTGTTGCTATATTGTCTTCTGCTAAATTAAATATCTTGCTATATGTATAAACAAAAAATAATTTTAGATTTTTTTTCCTTTACAAAAAATGTGTGCACTGGAAACAAAAAAAAAAATCTTTCTCTCTCTTCTGTTTACTACTCAGGCCATCCACTGTGTGTCTGAAAGCAGCCAGTCAATGTCCACAGGGGTAGTGAAGTCTATGATTATACCACCATCAGCAACACTTCTCCACTTCTACCATGATTCATTGTTTTATATTGCATCCCTATAAATTATACTACAAACTTGTTTGTTTTTGCTGCCATTAAACAACATTTTCCCTCTCAGATTAAAATTCATTTGGCAGTCTTCTCTTAAACATTGACTTCCTCTGCATTCTCAGAGGTTAGATGTGGGCTCTTTATTTAGTATTTAACCAATCATATTGCTGTGAATATGATCAGTTTGGGTTTGAGCCTAGGAACAGCCATGTAGATTTTAAATGTTTTTCAACATATTACCCATTGCAAATCATTCCATTTGTATTCTTCCAAAATCTTTAATATACTAGTGATACGAATCTGTTCATCAAACTCCCTCATCAAATTGTAGTCAAATCATTTTGTTTCATTTTGCTATTATAATAGATGGTCTCCATTGGTCATCAGTCAAGCATTTGATATTTTGCTGACAAGTACTACCAAAAATTACCAAACCACTATTGTTTTCTTGTAACACTTCATCTCTCCCCACATAGTTAGTTACATCTTTATCTCTTTTGTTCCATCTCTGGGCAATATACTTTACCAAATGAAGAGAGAAGAAATATATGGTGCTGACTTAATTGCTAAGTTTAATACTCTTCATTCTTTTTTTTTTTCTTTTCTTTTTTTATTACTGCAGGTTTTAACATTATTTGTTGTCATTGTAACTAATCTTATGAAACCTGCCAACAGACACTTTTCTTTTCTGTCTTCTCCTACTCTTTTTTTTATTTTAAAAAGATAAACACAAAATTTTATATATAAAATTTAAAAAAAAATAAAAATAAAAATTTCCCTATCTTTAAATTTTATATATTATATATAGTATTTGATTTTGTGTGTGTATGGAGACACACATATAAATTTAAAAAAAAAAAATTAATTTGGTATAAATTATAAGGAATGAGAAAGAAACTTTATTCCAAGAATGCAAGCCACGAATGAAGAGTCCATGTTTTAACTGGGGAAATGTCACCTTTCTTTCTCTCTTGTTCAGTGATATTCTTTGACAATACCAAAAACAAAATTGTAAATAGGCAGCCTATGTAGGAAATACAAATGCACAGTTGCTTTGAAGTTTGTTTTCCATTGGAATGAATGAATCTGAAAGCACTCAACATTTATTGATGTGAGAATTTCTCACAATTGCAAGACTGTTTGTTGGATATAAATGAATATTTTAACACTTCCATCTTTTTTTTGTAGGCATTAGTTCAAATTCAAATTAATTTTCTAAACCATTAGTTTAAGGATAGACACTGTGTTAGAAATAAATTATAAGCGAGTTTAAGAGAAAATTAAAATGTTCTGTGTATTGAAAACTTAACCATTTCCAACACAAACTGTTATTTGTAAATACATACAACTCTTATGTACATAATACCAATTCACTTACTGTATGTATGTATGTGTGTGCATATATATATATATATATATATATATATATATATAAGCACTTACAGAAAACTTTACCCTAAACTGGGCTAATAAGCAATTATCTGATAATGACTTAGGTAAATATTTAGTTTTTATAAGCTTAAAAGAAAAAAAAAAAAAAGGAAA